AAAAAAATACAGCAAACACAGGATTGGGGGCCAATCCCACTACCCAGCATATATTCCCACACCTAGAGCAAGATTTCTCACTCCCCCCTTACCTCGATAAGCAGGAGTCGAATCTTGATGGTCGCCCCCTCTAGGTTCCCCTTCGTCTTCAGAGAGAAAGGAGGAAAAAGATTAGAAAATGAAGAAATGAATTTTAAAGAGTGCAAAACGCTCTATTTATAGGCACCAGGCCGCGGCCAGAACGGCCTGTTCCAAATCCGGAACGGCCCGTTCTGGATTCCTTCGTCACCTCAAAAATATGCCACCGGAACGGCCCGTTCTGGACTTATTAATGCTATGTAAAAAATATAACCGGAACGGCCCGTTCTTCAATCAGAACGGCCCGTTCTGGGTTCCAACTTTGCTTATAAAATCATGTCTCGGAACGGCCCGTTCTTAAATCGGAACGGCCCGTTCTGGTTTCTAATTTTTTTCATAAAAACATGTCTTGGAACGACCCGTTTCGATGCAAGATTTATATGTTATTTAGTAGTTTGGAACGGCCCGTTCCAATTTTGGAACGGCCCGTTCTGGGCTACTAAAATATAAAATATTTTTTCGTAAATAATTATTATTAAAATATTCATATTCATTAAAAATATCTAAAACACTTTATAAAACCCATTTAATTGGTTAAAATAATCATAAGAATTAATCTCCATATATAAAAATAATAATAACAATTAATTATTACATTAGTAAAAATTTTCAGGATGTTACACCAATGGCCGATTACAAAAAGGCACTAATGGCCCGGTTACAAGAAATCAAACAAAAAACTCTAACCCTAACCTACTACTGCCACCAGAGCCGACCTCCTACACCGCGGCCGAGTCCTCCGGGTTTCCATCGCCGACCACGTCAATGATCGGTTCCTCTTCCCTGGCCGGCGGCGCTGGGGCTTGAGTTGAAATGCCTCAGCGAGGGGCCTCTTCGTCAGGTTGGGCCCCTTGAGGGAACTCGGCGTAACTTATAAACTTACCGCCATAGAAGTCCTGACTAACATCAAAATTAAAGTCAGCTGGGACCTCACAGAAGTAGAAGGCTTGTCGGACTGCATGCTGACATCATGTTGGTCGAGAATCTTCTCGGTGGCTTCGGCCTTGAATTTGGCAGCAGCCTCGTTGAGCCGAGCAATCTCGTTGGTAGCAGCGGCAGCCTCAATTTTTAACTTTTGGACCGACAGCTTCAAGTCGTCGGCCTCCCTCCGATGGGCGTCAGCTGCCCTCTTCAGCTCCTCTGCCGACTCCGTCGCCTTAGCATTGGCGCTCAACGCCTCCATCAACGTCGCCTTGGCCTCCTTAAGGCGCCCCTGGAACCTCTCTTCCGAGACAGCCGACCTCATCATAACATGTTTGGCAATAAGAGAAGTCCGAGCATCAAGCTCACAAAAGAGCTTATACTCGGCCTCTACGAACATGCCCTCCAAATATTGAAGCCCGCCGCCAGAGGTGAGGTCTAGGTCAGCTTTATGCCGAGGTCTTGGAACCAGCACATATAGGCGTAGAAGTAATCCTCCCTCGCCGACCCCTCTGCTTCCAATTCTGACTCCAAAAACACGAAATCGGTGTCCGACCCATCATTATTACAAGCCTCAGCAATTAATGGCAATTCGTCCTCCCCACTTCTGAAACATTTCTCTAACTTAACGAACTTGTCAACCAGCCCCTGGTCGGAGAACGACGAGAAGTATATGTCGACCTCTCCGTCCACTCACTCATACCTGGGAAATTCAACTGTCCCATAATCAATTTTCACCCGACTCCTCGGACCCCCTACGACCTTGCCTTGGGTTCCGCCGACCACATCCAAATTGTCATCGTCCGCCTCGGCATCAGGGGTCGTCACAGTGACGTGTGCCGAAGCTCTTGCTAACGTGACGAGGGGCAACACCTCGACTACCTCATCCCCACTGTCCTCTTGCTCGGGAAAATCCGAGGGAAACACTACTTCACACTGCAAAGAGGGTACCGGAGAGACTTCGCTGGACTCCGACCCGTCTTTCCCCGACGATGCACCCGACGCCTCGGACGACGTCTAGCTCCTAGCCGAAGAGTAGCCTTGTTCCATTAAATAAAAGGTTTACGGTTAAAAAACTCGTACCTTGATCGGTTTGCTCGGACAAATCTTTAAGTGGAGAGTGCTCGGGATAATTACAGCGCGTAAAATCTTCACGCACCCCTCCCCCTATTTATAGGCAAGGTAAATGGGGGAGGTGAAAAGACACCCCGAAACCCCAACCATTGGATCCTGATCATCCAACGGTCCAGATTTACTAGCCGTTAAGCTTTTAACCGCCAGGGCCTACGTGGCAAGCTACACCCTCCCAGGTCTCGGCATAGACATCTAAACCCAGCTAGTGATCATAGATATCGGCGAACACTCGGTCTTCGACCATTCATCCCAGGTCTCGGAACCCACCATTTCCCTTCTGTTGACATCATTCCTATCCAATGGTCGGCATCAACACACCATCACGGGGATCGGTAAGTTTAAATACAACCTCGCCCAGAATTCCCTAATATCCGACTACCCTAACACGCCGATCACCATCGCATAAGCGGATAACCACTCCCGAAACGTAGGGTCAACCACACGGCACACATAGCCGACACCTACCCCGTCTCAAAATATCCAAGTATGTATCACCGTCTGCGTCTTTCTAATCCTTGTCGTTGCAGGGGTTGTATACCGTATGGTGGCCGACTAGGCTGAACACCTAAGTTCCCGACCCAACCGACCCAAATAAATTCCCCGAGCACACCGACCACTCACTATCCGAACGGAACGTGTCAGTGTGCTCGGCCAAGTCACGGATTCATACCAGGATAATTACGGAGTGGTTAATTTACGTAACTAACTTTCACCTACCGCATTTATTACGCCGAGCACTTACTTGAACATTGGAGTGTCTTTGCAGGCACCCCCCTCACTTCGAACTACTCGGAGAAGGACGAGAAGACCTAGACCCAAGACCAGACCCGCTACAACAAGGATAATTGAAGTGTGTATCCTAACACAGAACAATATGCATCTTGGTTTGTTGTCACTGCTCGTAACTTGGAGAACCTCAATACCTCTCTTTTGTGTTATCTATAAAAGGAAAAAGTGAGAAATAAATATTTATCAATGGCGTTGAAGATGCATGCCAATAGTAACATGCATCCTTAAAATGTACTATTTAAAGGGGTCAATTAGGATTGGGTCAAAACACTATATAGCAGCTATTATGCTGTCTTCCTTTAGCTGTGATCTCTTTTTGTTCAATCACATGAATGCCCAGTAACGCATTCAAAACTCTTATGGCATTGACAAAGAGTAAAGACTCTTCCTTAATTAGCGTAGAAAAAGAAGGGGCTGTGTCCAGTGTTTATGGAATATTTTGTTTTTGTTTCTTTTTTCTTAAAAATAAATATATCATTATATTTGTAAATAATAAATTTTCACCTAAAACATTTTCAACATATTACGAGATTCTTACATCGGTCTTTAATTAAAAAAATCCGAATATTAAATTACTTTTACCAAAATCAGCCTAAATATAGATAAAATAGTATTTCTACTCGGGACTTCATAATTCACTCGTAACACGAGGTTCTAACCTTAGTATTTAGTTAAAAAGAACAAGTACTGAACCATAACTAATTTTTCCATTTGACCTAAAGGCCTATTAGCTATTTATATAAGATTACGTAGTCGTAAGAACAACTTTCCGCAAGTTGCTTACGGATTGTTTTACTGAGCACCTGAATGTTAATTTAAGACTATTTTTATGACAAATTTATACGTCATGTTACTGTATTAATTGTTATTCAACATTTGATTATTGATTTATCTTGCAAAACATAATAATCTTTTACATCCATTAAATTTTAACCTAACTACATTTTCTGGTACATAAACCTAACTATTTTTTTATATAATTTATAATTATATATTATATAATATTAAAATTATATATATTTAATTACCATTTTCCAGTTCCAGTAAAATCATTGAATTGTAAATTAATGCCATTACCAGTTCAATATTCCGATTATCAAAACACCAGTTGAACTTAACTGTAGCCTAGAACCAGATGAGTTTTGTTAAATTTCTTTTTTCCATGCAAAAGATAATTAAAAAATAAATAAATCTAAGATCTACCATACATATGCTCGTTTACTAAAGACGAGCTCAATTGTAAAAGTTACAGAACCTTAAATAAATGAGTGGATATCAAAGCCGTAACGGTAACGGGGAAAGGGGAAAGTAAATAAAGCCATTTCCACAAATACCTAAACTCTCTTTCGCATCCTTTATTTTGATGTATGACTACTTCTACAACTACAAACCTCAATACAAACCAACAATTCTTTTTTAATACACAAATTGAACAGAAAACTCACATTATGTTAGTCTGAATATTTTCTAATGGGGCGGACAAAATCATTGTTTCGACATGAAGAGTCAAGATCCACTCATAAAGTGTTAAATTTTTAGGAGTGAATGCTAGAAGCCAAGCAAGAAACCAAAAATCTAGTGATATAATATATAACTAAAAGGTGAATGCTTATTTACGGAGGGCTTAATCATTATACACATTAAACAAAAATAATTTAGGATAGATCACAACGATACTACTAAGATGACCATACTGGGAGAAAATAAAGATGACCACCTGGTATAATTTCAGCTTCCATCATCTACTTGGAATGATCTCTGAGAATGAGAAATCATGAAATGGTGGCCCTGTAACAGGTAAGCAACTTAAAAGGTGAGTAGCGAATTTCCATTACAAAAAAGAGAAAAATAAATGCAGGATATATGCGTGTGCCAGTGCTTGACATGCAACGGAGTTGGACTGATACATAATTATCTTCTCCAAATGTACTGTTCAGATGCAAATGTGCAAGTAATGCAGGTCTCATGAATGAATGACAACGGGAGGAAAATGTCCTTCACCTTCTTGTTCCCCTAGAATGTAAAATGGAATATGTGCAATCATTTTTGTTGAACCTTCACTCCAGTTTATGCTGCCTACTTTCTGTGTTGTGCCTTGTGCAGATGGCGAAGGCCCCAGAATGGATGAACATATAGCAGGGTCTTTCATCAAACCCAAGAAATCACATGCACGTCTCCATACTCTAGCATCTGAAATTCGAGATCGAGCTACCTGAAAAGGAAATCTCACATTAGAAAGACAATTACATCAATGACCTCTTATGCTTTGCCCGGTGACACCAAAGAATACCTTGCCCAAGGATACACGCGCTCTAGGTAGTAACTCTCGATGGTGCGTAGCAAGCTTTGCAATGGCTGTCACAACAAAACATAAAAGCCTGGACTGTGATGACATTCTGTAGGTATCCTTATCAGAACTAAGGGATACCTCCTGTGAAAGGCCCAGACGACTACCAAGTATACAAAGTAGATCAAGTCATCAAAAATTACCCAAGAAATCTCTCAACTGGAAAAAGCAGGCTGTATACCGCATATATTCATACCTTGAGGAAAGGTTTTCGTACAGAAGTAGTTCTAAACTCTCAAAAAGCTCTCGAGCTTCATCTTTGTGAGATCCACCACCTCCACCATGCTCTCCAATGGCCCAACATAATTGCAAGGCCAATTCTGTCTAAAGAAAATCATGAATTTTTTAAGCCAATATTGTTGTATCACTCTCCCACAAATAGGCAAATAGTTGTTGACTAACCTTGTCTGGGCTGTCATAAGCTTCTCCAAGTCTGTCCATTATAGGTTTCTGCAATAAATTCACATAAGGCACTAAATATAAAATCATTCACGACTTTTCACCTATTAACTTAAGCTTTTAGAAGAGTGGGTTCTTAACATGGCATTAGAGCCTTAATAACTAAATGGAGTTTGATTCTTTTGTCCTCATTCTTCTAACAGAAGTGAATTTAGACACAAGATAAGGTGTGCGGAGCATTACCAAACCCAAAGGGTTTTGTACGAGGAGTGTTATATAAAATCACTTACGAGCTTTTGACTAATGGGCTAATGGCTTAAACATTTGGACAACAACCTAAGCTTTCAGGAATCAGGAGAGATAGTTCTTGACATCAGCAATAGCTTTTTAAAACAGAAAAAAAAAGAGCTATAAAATTACAGCAAAAAAGACAAATGCTGCAATTTTTCTAAGAAAAGAGAAACCAACATTAAGAAGCACCAATAGATTGTATAAACCAATGGAGGGGCATAAGGTGGCCCATAACCAAAAATAGAATATAGTCAGATAGCACATTCTTCCAGTTCCCAATCTTTGCAATTCATTATTTTTCATAAATACGTAATATCAAGTAGATGCAATAGATCACAATAAAAATTGCACAACATTTGGAGTAAAATCATAAATAAAAGGAAGTATATTGCCAAAAGGATACCTTTAAAAGGGCAATGAAGTTTGGTGAGCGCTGAAATGTAGAGAGCATAAACTCCAAAAGCCGCTTACGAACCTGAAAAGCACAGCAGAACTTAGAGCTCAAAGTAATGTGTATGAAACAATACTTAGTTCACAAAAACAAAAATTAAAAGGTGGAATTTATAACAAAAGTGAGGCAGTCAAAGGTGAAGGTGCTGCCTATGAGGTTATGTCCTTGAGGAAATTGGCACTAAAATGCTAATCTTACAGAAAGGCATTCAGATTGGAAAAAGATAACAGTTAAATATTTTAGTGTCCAACTATTTTGCATTTATTCTCCATATAAACTAGGTAGTAAGTACTCAAGCATAATATTAACAGTAAGAATAAAAGATTACAATAATCAATTTATAAAACCCTAGCTGCTTGCTGCTGAAAATCCTAAAGACCAATTTTTATTTTTTTTCCAAATATTTTTCCCTTTAGTACCACAGCAAGTCAAAAGCTGAGTCTTCAGATACTTTTATGCTATTATCATCAATAAGATACTAAAATTGTGCCTCACTTGAACCATAAATGCTAGGCAGAGCCGCAGAGGTGTTGATCCTTTCTAGTTCCTCACCTCCATGCCTTAAGGCATTTTGGAGCCTTTAACAGTACTAAACAAAATCAGTTACCCTTTGCCTATTTTCCTTTCTTTTGGTTGTTCGGATTAGAAACGTCATCTGTCATTCATATTTCAAAACGCTTACTGCAGAGTATACTATATATAGAGAAAAATAAAAGAAATATCATTATTACTAGAATATCTGGAAGGAATCTCATAGTATCATAACTAAATCTTAGAATAGTTTATAAGATTATTTTAGATAATCTCTTAGGATTCATTTCCATATGTCCTTATACTTCATGATTTATTTCCATATTTAATTAGGATTAGGAGTCTACTATTATTTAGCATAAATAAAGGCTAGTGCTTTATGTTTTGTAACATATCCAACACATCACCTCACAGTGAATATTAATTTCAGATTATTTAGTCTCTACTCTTTCCTTTGGGCCAAATTACTATAGCTGAAGTTTCCCAAGAAAGGTGAGCTTGAAATAGTAAGTGATAGTTCTACAGAAGCTAATAAGCACAGCTGCATGCATTTTCAAATGCCAATTCTCAAAAGCAATTCTAACATGTTACCTCATATGAAAATATTTTGTCTGGAAACATTGTGGCGAATCTTGACATAAGCAGGGGAATCAATGCACAAATCAAAGCTGAAAATGAATTTTAAAAAAACAGGAAAAATCTGTAAACACAACCAAGTCATCAATATGTTATCAAAATAAAGAATTTTGTGTGAACAAAACTTACAATTATTAACATTATGCAATGCTGTGGAGAAGTACACATCAAGAAGATGAGGTGCCATGCTGAGTGTTGCTTTCAGCCTATCAGAGTAAGGACTGTTGACCGCAGCCTGCAATATTGTGGCCATCACTGGAGATGACCACGGGCGTTCCTGACATATGATGGAATTTACTTTTAGGACCTAAATGAAGCTCAATGCCAAACAAAAACCCTAGAGTTGTAATGGAGTTAGAATATCGAACAAATTTGGAACAATACATAATTTTTCATTAAATATTAACCATTCAAAGTGTAACAGGCAATATTAGTGACAGCTTTTTATCAATCTCATGTTCTAAGTGATTATTAATATAACTTGGTAAACATGATGTGACTGTGACAGATAAATGGCTCAACAACTTAAATTTTGACCTTTAAAGTATCGGGAACCAAAACAAATTGAACTGTCAATGATTAGCAAGATGAAAGGTAGCCATACAGCGATACCATCATTTTCATCCTTTAAAAGCTCAAGGAACAAAGGATCAGCTACATCAATTGCACTGCTATCCTCAGATTCAGAATCTCCTCCACCATCTTCTATAGTTGAACCAGTATATGCCTCATCCATAAGGGCAAGTAGCATCTACAGTAAAAATAAAAATAAAAAAAAAGGTCACTGATATGCACACTTTTGCAACTGTGACTAGATTTCACTCTAATTTAAAGTAGCAAAGATAACCTTAGGGGCAGTATTTTTCTGAATAGAAGCTATGCTGCTCCCAATTAGTGGTCCTGAGCTTTTTTCCACCTTTTCCAATGCTACTACCAAAACTGGCAAAAATGGGCAGCAAAATGTTGAATTGATAAAGTCAGGGAGACTAGAAGAAACAGATTATCAAGCTTATTACATGTAGGCTGTAGCACCTGCAGTAGCTACCTATTTTTCCTAAATGATTCTTACTCATTACTAAAGTGATAGTCCATTTCTACATTACTTTTTTGGACCCACATATAATCATTATGAAATTGCAATGGCAAATATGCCTATAAGGGATAAAAGTTGGAAAAGTTAATCATGTAAGTTTAGTGCAGTCAACTTTTCACCTATTATCTTGATTATACATCAAATTACGTTGTTCATATCCAAGAAATTCAGAAAAGTGAAAAAAGCCAATGGAGAAACAGTGGTAATTAATTGTATTCTGATACATAATAAAAATTAAAATAATCGATCTATAAACATAAAAAGGCAAACAAGACAATTGGTCATATAATTGTACGTACTTGGCAAGTCTATTAAATATGGAAATAGGGGAATAAATGACCCAGGTGACATGAAGCTCGGGAAGGCTTTCAAAAATAGCTTCTCTAATCTGCAAGAGTATAGTAAAAATAGTTAGTTAATATCCCTTGTCTATTAGGCACATTGCCAAAAAAGAGAAGAGAAATACATTCCAACCACATGCACCAAAGTAGCAGACAGCACATTGCCACAAAAAATTGGCTTCTTTGTTTTAACCAAAACCATCAAATTAGTTAAGAAAAACTGGTCCAAGGACCAAGGGCACACAGAACATTCCCAAATAATGCCAAACAAAGATGACCATGAAGAAACAAGCTACAGAGAAGCATAATATCAAGAAGAGACAAAATTTGTGACCCTAAGAACCAATTATATATGATGCTATTTGGCAGTGACAATATATAGCTACTTGAAACCAAAGACATATATAATGTTCAATCTTTGACATTCTTGCAACAGGAAACTAAACAGATTCCCTTTTTAATATATACCCACCTTATAACAAGAGGATAGTCTAAAGTTTTACCCACCTTTAAATATATACCCAACTTCAAACCATTTCTTTTCCAACCCCCCC